CATTGTCTCTGAAAAGGGTACAAGATTGTCCCCACAATGTAGATAGATTAACATCTATTAAAGTGAATGATGACTGTATGCCACATGCTAACATTTATATCTACAATGGTGGATTTTGTAACATTAAACATCAGCTGGAAAAAATAATAATAATCTACTGTGACATTAGACCTCTAAAGACTGAACATATGAACAGGCTAGCTGTGCCAGGGGCGTTTCTTACCAAGGATCAGCCATATCAACTAGTCAAAAGTTTTTTAGTGGACAGATGGCAAGTTGCCAAATAAATTTGTATTCATGAAACTAAAATGTTTTGTTTGGTTATCCCATGCAGCAATATATTGTGAACTGTTTGTTTATATATTAAACAATCAGGAATTAAGAATTGGCCGCTAAAGGTTTTCCACCCAGTGCACACAGGAGGTACATGGGAGATGGGCTTGCCAAACATCGCATTCACAAACATACTGTACTTCCATGACCCAGTTGTGATATCATTGTGATCAGCACAACACAAACATACAGCTCCCCTACAGTTAAATAAGAGGGCACAATCTAGGTTTGTTTCAATACTTTAAGTAAATCTAAATTCAAATGTTAACATCTTGTCAGGCTAGATAAACAGAAAAGAAGGATTGGAATACTTACTTTCACTGTAGAAAGTTTTGCTTCAGCCTCTACTGTAGTGTTGGTCATATGTGCAAAAGTCTTGGCATTTGGTCACGTGATCTCAGCAAAAGGGCGAGGTCAGAGATCACGATGGCTGATCTTGCCCTTCAGCAGAAGTCATGTAAGCAAAGGTTTAGGCTTTTGATAATTTGACTGGCATTGTAAGGACTGTGGAGTAATATTGTTTCCAGGAAATATAAGCATTGTAATCCTTTTATTACCTTGTAACATAGCATTAAGTTAGCATTTAATTATAGCTCTGCTCTGATGACGTCCTGGCACCATGCCCACGATGTTGTCAAGTCTTGTAACTAGATTCTCAGCATACATTACTGCCTGCGGAAATGATCTTTTTATAGTAATGAATGTTGATAAAGTATTTCAACTGCTGCATTTCACCCGACAAGAAGACAAGTCTCTCAGGCCTTGTTCACATCAAATGCGGACCACATCTGCATATGTTTCGGCACACACAGTGCAGTGGGGTTTGCCGCGTTTTTGTTAAAAAAGCCTAAAATGGGCTTCCAGTGCGTTCCAGGGCATTTGCATGCGTGTTTGAGCAGGAAAAATAGGGCTTGCTGTAGTTTTTTTTACATGCTCTGGAACTGAACGCTGCGGTGTGAACTAGAGGCAGATGTGAACTAGAGGCAGATCCTGGTGGTGGGAGACTCCATCATCAGGCGGACTGACAGGGTAATCTGTCATCGGAACCGTGAGCGTCGAACAGTGTGCTGCCTGCCGGGGGCTCGTGTTCGACACATTGCGGAACGAATTGACAGATTACTAGATGGGGTTGGGCACGACCCCGCTGTCATGGTGCACATCGGCACCAATGACAAAATAGTATGGAGGACCAGAGCTACGAGACAAGGCTACTAAATTTAAACATGTTCACATTGGAGGTGAGGAGATTGAGGGGGGATATGATCTCCATGTACAAAATGTTCAATGGTGGTAGCAACATTAGCTATAAACTGTTTAAAATTAACTCCATTACAAAAACTAGAGGCCATCACCTAAAATTGGTGGAAAAAAAATTCCAGCACAAGGGGCGAAGGGAGTTCTTCACAGTAAGATCAGTTAGGGTCTGGAACTCACTGCCACAGGCGGTGATTTCAGCAAATAATGTGGAATTGTTCAAGAAACTTTTGGACGATTTCGTAAGGGACCGCAATATACAGGGGTACAGGTAATATACAGGGGTACAGGTAATATACAGGGGTAGATGTAATATACAGGGGTACGGGTAACATACAGGAGTACAGGTACTCCTAGAATGAGATCCTAATAGGTTGGACTTGATGGACTAATGTCTTTATTCAACCTCAAATACTATGTAAAATACCACTGGAATACATTCAACGCAGTTTTGATCCGTTCTGTAACTGCTCTGCACTGCTCCTGGAACGCGCTTGCTGTGAGCTAGCCCTCATGTGGAGGTAGCAGACATCATGCATGGTGACCACCCTGTGGCAGTATTATTTTTGTGTGTTCTACTGTGATACTTGTGACCATGCTGACTGGGGATGTAAATAAATTGTGTTTTCTGGTATGCAGATCACCCAGCATGTACTAGCTTCATGCAAACCATTAAGTATATGTACATAAATGATCCACGGTAGGGCCAAATAGCTGCAGCTACTACATGCATTACAGTGTCTTCCAGGTACAGGAACAGCTACTGTGCTAAGCAACTTCCCAATGCTGTTAAAACATAGTGATTTGCTTTCCTCAGCACAGCAGCCATTCAGAGAATGCCTAGTATAAATACTAGGTGTTCTCTGATTGGATAAGGGGTGATGACATGAAGCTGCAGCTGCTAAAGTTAATTTTATGTGGCCCTGCCAGAAATTATTTATATGCTGGACCAATGTAAGTATATATCATTTTTTAAACAAGAACTCCAGGAAAAACATTTCTTAACCCCTGCAGTGCGGGGGTAACACTGCCAGGTAGTGCTTATTTTTGTGTATGTGCGATAATAACAAAGTTATATTCACCCGATCCTCCTCCTCTCCAGTGATGGAATGTCCATAGGCGTCCTTACGTCCAATAGACAGTGTATAGGACGTGATGACTCACAGGAGCTTGGCCCGCTGGAGTAGAGGGGGAGAGAGGCTGGAAGGACTGGTCTAACAGCCAGCTGGCTTGCAAGGATCGGGTGAGTATAACTTTTTTATTGTAGCATCTAGACGAAAGCGAGCACTTAACCCTTGCAGTGCGGGGGTTGCCCCACTACAAAGGTTAGGTATATATTGCCTGGAGTTCTTCTTTAAAGCTGGAGTTCAGCTAGGCTGATAGCTTTGATCCTAGCTTCAAAGGTCCGTTTAAAGAAAAAAACTACTATTGGCTTCTACAGATTGGAGAGACAGTTCAAATAGTAATAAACTGTAAGAAATTAACCAAATGGTAATTAAAAGTGCTAGAACATCACAGATGACAATGTAATAACTCCATTCAACATGTGCAATATCAGTTCATACTGAAATAAACTCTGTATATTGTTCTTTCTTTGCTTGCCTCTCTTCCTCTTGTAGATATATCAGTTGATGATGCTGGTTGGTGTCTGTTGACCTCTACAGTGATTGTTCGGGACATCCAGTACATAACACTGCACAGAAGTCCAGTCGACAGTTTGGAAGTTTCTATGCAGAAGAACAGTTGATGTTAATAAACATTGTTATCATTTAAAATCATTCTGCTGGGTTTTTTTGAGCGCCGTTGACCTTTTTTTTTTTCATCGGGTGAGTTCCGCCCTATAAGTTATATTGCAGGAAGTTTATTATTAGACATGTAAATGTATCTTATTACACACGACATAAGAGATTCATACATTGTAGACTGATTCTGATTACTGCTCTTTTGATTACTGTGTTGTTCATTTGTTACAGTTTTTTCATAATTAAATATGCCTGTATACCAACTGAGCCTATGTTGAAAAAAATGTATAAGGAGAGGTTACAATCAGTACAAATTGCACATAAAACCAAGCAGTAAGATATAGATGGCTGCAGTTATCAGCAAATATAAAAGATGAGGTCACTCCTACTCCGCTCACTCAGGAAGCTTCCTCCTTAGTTCTTTAAAAGTAAATTCCAGCTTTTAAAAGAAAAAAAAAAATGCACAAAATATGCATTTATTGTTTTCTTTGCATTACAGTCAGTAGAACACTGGTGCAATTATCTGGCTTCGGCAGACTCTTTCTCCCATCCATGTCGGTACATAGGTACTGTAAAACAGTAGAAAGGTATCATGGCACACTCACAAACCAGCATGTAAAACAACTTGTCTCACCACTAAGGTTAATAACAGAGGTTTGGATACACGTCTTCTGCAGAAAATGTGAAAACCGCACAGCCGCGCCAAGGCACCTCTTATAGTGCGGTCCTAACTCTAAACTATGAGAGTCTCCATCTTGGAGCACATGGGGGCAGAAGGTTTCAAATTGGGTGCAGGTTTGTCAGGAGGAAGCCCAACATGCTGGTTTGTGAGTGTGCCATGATACCTTTCTACTGTTTTACTGTTCAAAGCCCATTTCGTGTGCACCTTACTGTATAGCTGGTGACAAGTTGTTGATTGCGTTTGTCATTTGTTTTGCCTGTACATAGGTACAGATATTCAGTAATATGGATGGGACGCAGTGTCAACGGACTACAAGTGGGGTGACGTGATGTCATTACACTTGTATTCCATTGAGAACTAATGAAGAACCTCTGCCACGGAGGCTTATGAGGCATGACGTTTCTCCTTTCACAAGTCCTGCCAAACTCAAACAATTCAATAATTGTAAACAAGCCTGCGGGGAGAAGAACACAGTGACTCTGGTTGGTTGGTGGGGGGTAACTGGGGGGTTGTGATCTGATCATGTTTCATGTTACACCCTAAAGCCTGGTTCACATCTGCGTTCAACATTCAAGCTCTTTGCATGCGTTTGCACACTGTGTTTGCTGTGTCCGGCCCCATTGATTTAAATGGGGTCATATACTCGCGGCAAACGCTGCAAAAAGACTCCTGCACCACTTTTGTGCGCATTAGCACATGTGGAAATGAAGTGAAACCCCATGCGATTTGCCGACCACTTTTGGGGGGCCATTCAAAATGAATGGCACCACAAGTTTCGCATTTGTGCACGATTGCGCAAACGTAAGCTCCACCCTGTGCTAGGTGGTTTGTTATTTACAGCAACTTTGGGTTCTCCATGGAAATCCTAGTTGTTATTCAAAACTTATGAAACCACAAGACTGGATGGATGAAATGTGTAGACGTCTTCACTTGCTTGAATTGTTCATTTACTTTTTCAATTGTTTTTTTCAAAGCAGATGACATTAACGATGGAAAGTGCCTTTTTGGAACTTTACCAGCAGTTCAAAATGTTGCAAGCTGTATGTTCACAACAAGCACAACTTCTCCAAAGATTGATTTCAAAGGATGCCAATATCGCTGGTAAGAGAGATCACTGGGCTAACATGAAGCAAGGTCAGACCTGGACCCACATAAAGCAGGGTCAGACCTGGTCTCACATGAAGCAGGGTCAGACCTGGTCTCACAAGGAGCAGGGTCAGACCTGGTCTCACATAAAGCAGGGTCAGACCTGGTCTCACATGAAGGAGGGTCAGACCTAGTCTCACATGAAGGAGGGTCATACCTAGTCTCACAGGAAGGAGCATCAGACCTAGTCTCATATGAAGCAGGGTCAGACCTGGTCTCACATGAAGCAGGGTCAGACCAGGTCTCAGGTGAAGCAGGGTCAGACTTGGTCCCTCATGAAGCAGCGTCACACCTGGCCTTGCATGAAGCAGGGTCATAGCTGGTCTCAAATAAAGCAGGGACAGACCTGATGCCACATATAACGGGGTTAGATTTGTTGCCATATGAAGCAGGGTCACACCTGGTCCCACATGAAGCTGGATCACACCTGGTCCAACATGGAGCAGGGTCCCACCTGTACAATGTATATTATTAGCTTAGAAATTCTAGATTTTACAACAGGTTAATTTTCCTTACTTTAAAGCTGAAATGTGAGAATTTCACAATAATATTTCAGCATTCATATAGCAACACAATGATATCTGGCTTGAATAATACAGTTCAGTATTCATTTTCTCTCTTTGTCTATGAACATTATTAGGGATTTTTTTGCCACATATAAACCATAAGAATTAGTATAACATTTTATTATTTATATAATAGAAAATAAAATCATCTGAATACTTGTATAGAAATCCATAGATCTAAAAGATGTTATTATTAATATTCAGAAAGTATGAGAAAAAAAACAAAGTCATTATAGTGTAAATCCCTAACTCCTAGTTGTCTTTCATGTTACTGATTTATCAAAAGTAAAACAAAAGAAAAATGGGGCAGCTAGAAATAACAATTACACTACCAGAATGTCACGTGCCATTTTCTCTACATAAAAAATAGGTAGGCAGCTCAATTAATTGCATCTAAACAGTAGGGTACAACAGTGAGGGACAACTCCACAATAGATGAAAAAAGTACATTTAATCCTTAATTCCTCAATTTTGCAGATTTAGGGAACTAACTGAACTTCTAAACTTATGATAAAAGAGAAGTTTAGGGCTACATGCATACTAGAGCCAGTGAGCAATGGTTAATAGAAAGCCTTATAGCTCTCCAGTGTAGGAAAAGCCAGTGTCTCTGGGACCCATTTACAGGGTGGAGATCAGTAGTAAAAAAAAAACAAAAACAAAAAAAACAGTCAGCAGTCAAAAAACAGACGCTGTAGTCTGTGTTCACTTTGCAGCACAAAGCAATACATACAATGAATTCAGAAGGACCACACACCAGCAGAACTTCACACCAAATGCCCTTATACACTTGGTATGTACTGGGAACATATGAAATGCTAAGCACCCTGTTTAAGGTATATGTAGCCCCTTCACCCTAAGTGGAGTGGCACTTTATATTTAGTGTTGCTGAAACCGTAATCAGTCTGGCATATTTGTAGTCTGGCATCATTTGGTCATTCCTAGGTGTTCTGCTATTGTCTGCACTTATCTGTAGTGGGGTTTGACCCTGCTACAGAGTGGGGCAGCCAATGGGACAACACCAAGCATGTTTATATCTCTTTAACCAATCACTAGGAGTTTCATAGCCAGTGGTGAATGCTGAGGAAGTGCATAAATACTCTGGAATTACCATGTGTTCAGGGCAGTCCGCCCCGGGCCTAGCCTGGAGGAGTGATGTACACAGCTGAAGAAGCTGACTAGGCATTAAGCCTGAAGGAAGGCCAGATATGGACCCAGGAGGGGTCTGGAACTATTTGGGAAGGAAAACCAGAGGAGCCCTTTGACTGCTGAAGGTGCCAGGAAGACCAATTTGGTTTGGACCTCAGGAGCACATCTGGTGTCTCTCAGGGAAGATCTCAAGAATGTCCTCTATCCAATTGTGGTTCTATTACACAGTGTTATCCTCTGCTAAAGTGTTCCTGCACTGTGGAAGCTGGAAGGGATTGGTGAGTCTGGAGTCTATTTTGCCAATGGATGTCTGTAGCCCTATACCTTCTCTGCCAGTTTAGCTTTTCTATAATAAAGCATTGAAAAAGTACTTTAAGTGACTGGCGCCCAATTACTGATCACAACCCACAACCAGGGTAAGGATCCATCCCTGAGAGTTAAATGTCAGCCCTCCCTGCCTCTGGGGTTCACCACATGCCTTTGGGGATCGGGGATCGGGG